TCCTGGGCAACAGAGTGAGACTCCAACTCAAAAATAAAGTACAATGAAATAGAGATAATCAGACCCACTGTTGTTTACACATCTTCCCATGGATTCAGGAACTCCATGCTCTTCCCAAAATACCTTATTGTATGGAAGTTTTTATGATTGAGATGTTATGATATCTGGCAGTAGCTTTCAAATAATCCAGTAATAGTGCTGGCCATGTGGGGAGATGACACTGGGTCATTTGTCCTGTAATGTTTCCTCCATTTTTTATTTTTTTAAATCAGTATTTTTTATTTTAAAATTGTGGGGTACAGTTAAGGGTTAGGTACACAAATATGCATCGTTGAGGCACCCTTGTTGATAAGGGGTGTCTCCCCATCCCCAGACAGATATTGACTACCGTTAATCCCACCTCCCTTCCCCTCCCTCCCCCCTCATAGTTTCCCACCACTGTCAATCATTTCCTTATAGTATTACGATAGACGTTCAAGGTCCACTATATGAGTGAGAACATGTGATACACAGATCTTTGTTTCTGTGAGAGGTCACTCAGTATTACTGATTCTAGTTCCATTCAGGTTGCTGCGAAATTCATGATTTTGTTCTTTTTTATGGCTGCGTAGTATTCCATCGTGTATATGTACCACAGTTTTTAAATCCAGTCCTCTTTTGACGGACAGCATGGTTCGTTCCAGGTTCTTGCTATTAAGAACAATGCTGCGATAAACATACATGTGCAGGTATCTTTTTTATAGAGTGATTTGAGTTCTTCAGGGTATATTCCCAGTAGGAGGATTGCGGGGTCATATGGGAGGTTGATATTTAGAGCTTTTAGGAATCGCCACACTGTTTTCCACAGAAGTTGCACTAGTTTGCATTCCCACCAACAGTATAGAAGTGTTCCCTTTTTGCTGCATCCTCTCCAGGATCTGTTGTTTTTTGAGTTATTAATGATGGCTATCCTGATTGGAGTTAGGTGGTATCTCAGTGTGGTTTTGATTTGCATCCCCTTGATGATTAGTGAGGCTGAACATTTCTTCATGTGTCTGTTGGCAGCTCAGATGTCTTCCTTTGTGAAGTGTCTGTTCATATCTTTTGCCCACTTTATAATGGGATTGCTTGTTTTTTTCTTTTCAGCACATTTGAGTTCCTTGTAGATTCAAGATGTTAAGCCTTTGTCAGACCTGGAGTTTGGCAAAT